GGGTATGGTGTTTCAGAATGATGAATGTGAGGCATGTATCTTGGGGAAGCATTGTAGGACAATCTTTCCAAAGTCTAGCACTATCTATGAGAAGTGTTTCGACCTGGTTCATTCTGATGTGTGGACAACACCTTGTATTTCCAGAGAGAATCACAAGTACTTTGTCACCTTCATTGATGAGAATTCAAAATACATATGGGTGACTCTGATTCAGACAAAATACCGGGTGCTGGAGGCATTCAAGAACTTCCATAACCATGTTTCCAACCATTTCAATGCTAAGTTGAAGATTCTCAGGCCTGATGATGGTGGAGAGTACACTAGTCAAGCATTCAAGCAATATCTAGTTCAACATGGGATCATTCAGCAAATTAGTTGTCCTTATACACCACAACAAAATGGTGTTGCTGAGAGGAAAAATCGACATCTGATGGAGGTAGCCAGGAGCATGATGTTCCATACAAGTGTACCTAAAAGGGTTTGGGGAGATGCAGTCATGACAGCATGCTATCTTATCAATCGGATCCCAACAAGAGTACTCCAAGATCACTCTCCTTATGAGGTATTGAACAAAACTAAGCCATCTATTGACCATATGCGTGTGTTTGGGTGTCTGTGCTTTGTTTTGATACCAGGAGAACAAAGGAACAAGCTAGAGGCTAAAAGTACAAGATCAATGTTCATAGGCTACTCTCCAAACCAAAAGGGATACAAATGCTATGAACCAGAGACTAGGAGAGTCTGGTATCTAAAGATGTAAAGTTCATAGAGTCCATAGGGTTTTACACCAATAAGGATTGGGATGAGCTTGAGAATCTTTCTCAATCAGCCTCGGATAGGGCGCGTAATCTTAGACAAGTCATGGAGAGACTTGGAGTGAGCATACCTGTGTTGAGGACAAATGGAGAACCGGATGAGACCGTCCATGAGACTTCCCAAGAGGCTGAGATCAACACTGATGAGGTTGAGATACAAGGAGATCATGAAACTATTGAGGTCACTCACCTTGACCATGAGGGGGGAAATGATACTGAACTGCATCAACATGAGAGCTCAGAAACCATTCATGGCAAAGCTGAACAACAAGATCAAGAGGGATCAGTAGTAAATGAGGGTCAGTCCTCTGATAATAAAGAAGAAGATTCAGATACTGATGTTCCACCAATACTAAGAAGGAGTACTAGGATTAGGAAACCGGCTTCTGAATGGATCAACACAAAATTCTATTTCAATTCTCAAGCGGTTGCTCATCCTACTCAACCTGTGTGCTCTCTAGCTCAATACCCACAAGAACATGTAGTATTCATGGGAGAGCTTGACCAGGAGTACATCCCAAAGACTTATGAAGAAGCAATGAAGCATAAGAAGTGGAGAGACTCAGTTGGAGATGAAACCAATGCCATGATCATCAATGACACTTGGTATGAAGCTGAGCTTCCAAAAGGCAAGAGGGCTGTGACAAGCAGGTGGATCTTTACCATCAAATATAATGCTGATGGGACAGTAGAGAGATGCAAAACAAGAATTGTAGCAAGAGGGTTCACTCAGACATATGGAGAAGACTATCTTGATACATTTGCTCCAGTCGCCAAGCTACATACAGTCCGGATCATACTGGCCTTAGCAGTCAACTTGGAGTGGGATCTATGGCAAATGGATGTGAAAAATGCTTTCCTTCAAGGTGAGCTTGAAGATGAAGTCTATATGAAGCCACCACCGGGTCTAGAGCATCTTGTGAAGCCTGGAAATGTACTAAGACTCAAGAAGGCTATCTATGGGTTGAAACAATCACCAAGAGCCTGGTATCACAAGCTTAGCACCACCTTGAATGGTAGAGGATTTGTGAAGTCTCAAGTGGATCACACTCTCTTCACTCTAACCAGCTAAAGAGGGATTGTGGTGATACTTGTGTATGTGGATGATATCATCATCACAGGGAGTGACAAAGAAGGTATTCTTTTGACCAAAGACTTCCTCAAGTCCTCATTTGATATCAAAGACTTGGGAGAGTTGAAGTACTTGAATTGAGATATGTCGATCAAAGGAAGGGCTATTTCTATCCCAAAAGAAGTACACTCTGGATTTGTTGAAAGAGGAAGAAGAATTGGGTGGAAGAGCAGCCAAAACTTCTTTAGAAGATGGCTATAAGGTGTTGCGTGAGGGGGAGATAGAAGATAAACCCTATGAGGATGTCAAACACTATAGGAGGATGGTTGGAAAGCTAATCTACCTAACTATCACCAGGCCAAATGTGTGTTTTGCTGTTAATAAACTCAGCCAACATATGCAAGCTCCTAAGATACACCCATTGGAACATAGTAGAGAGGATTCTGAGGTACCTCCGAGAAGCACCAGGCCAAGGAGTGTGGATGGGATGTAACAAAAGCACTGAGATTGTTGGGTATTGTGATGCTGATTGGGTAGGAGATAGAGTTGATAGGATATCAACCACTGGGTATTGCACCTTCATTGGAGGCAATTTGGTGACTTGGAAGAGTAAGAAGCAGAAGGTTGTTTCATGTTCAAGTGCTGATGCAGAATATAGAGCTATGAGAAAGCTCACCAGTGAGCTTATTTGGATCCGGAATCTGCTCATTGACTTGGGGATTGAAACCTCATCTCCAATCCCCATGCACTGTGATAACTAGGCTGCAATACATATAGCATCCAACAATGTGTTCCATGAGAGGACTAAACACATTGAGGTGGATTGTCACAAGGTGAGATAAACTGTGGAGCAGAAGATCATCTTACCTTGCTACACAAGAAGTGAAGACCAACTAGCTGACATCTTCACAAAGGGTGCGAGGACTAAGGTCTGTGAGTTCATCCATCCAAATCTTGGGCTCATAGATTTCTCATGTCAATGATCTCTCCTCCATGAAGTGTTCTACTATTTTTCCTTGACTTGGGTTTTCTCCTAAAGAGTTTTACCTAGTTGAGTTTTTAATGAGGGAATACTTCATGGCTTCCAAGCTTGACTTGTTCCACATGGTCAAGCTTGAGGGGGAGTGTTGACATGAAATAAATTAAGGTACTAGACTTGAGAAATGCCAGACAAGGTGCCAGACTTGAGAAATGCCAGACTTGAGAATTTATAAGGGGTTTATAAAGCACGCTCAGATTTCTTTCTCTCTCCTATTTGTTTTGTTATTTTTCCTTGTCCACTTGTTTGTCTATTTAAAGACATGTACCTGATATTAAAACATAATAAGAAAATATGAATTCTTCCCAGATCTACTTTCTCTCTCTCAATTTTAAAATATCTCATCCTTTGTTCTTCATCTAAATCTTTTATCTTCACATTCTCATATTGGTGAGGGGAAACCATCAAGTGAATGGAGAGAAGCCTCCACCACAAATGTGTCCAAGGTGTTACTCAGACAACACCAGGTTATGTTACTACAACAACTATAGCTTGGCTCGCTACACCTGCAAGAATTGTTGGCTATAACCGATGGCCGGACGGAAGTAACTAATCGTTCTCTGGGGAATTTACTTCATTTTCTTGTGGGAGATTCTATTAAAACATGGGATTCGAAGCTTCCTCAAGCTGAATTTGCTCACAACCACTCTCTCAACCACTTTCCTCACGGACCTGTTGACCTTGCTTCTCTTCCAGATCGCAAAAGACTTCATGGTGTAGCAGATGATTTCATTGATGACATTCACAAAGTTCATGATCAAGTTGTTTCCAATTTGGAGTCTTCTTCTTCAAAGTACAAAGCCGCTGCTTATTCTCATCGTCGTCATGTTATTTTTGAGGTTGGAGATCTCGTATGAGCGTTTTTGACAAGAGATTGGATGCCAGCTCATGCATACAATAAACTTAAGGTAAAGAAGATTGGCCCTCTCACCGTCCTTGAACGTATCAATGACAATGTTTATCGCCTTCAGTTACCTGCTGGCATCACTACATCAGATGTGTTTAATGTTTGTTACTTGTCGCGTTTTGTTCCACAGACACCGTAGCCGATTCGGGGTTGAATCTTTCTAACCCCGGGGACCTGATGCAGTATCCTGATTACTTCACCGCCAAGCAACGTTTGTATTAGATTTAATGTGTTTTCTTAATATGTGTGAAAACACTAATTGGTTTTATTAGATTACTATTGGCTATGAGAAAATTACAAGTTTCAAAAAAATTAATTGGTTTTATTAGATTACTATTGGCTAAAAGTTGTTGAAAATTGAAAATTACTGAAAACGATAGTGATTTAATGTGTTTTCTTAATATGTGTGAAAACACTAGAAAGTCTATCTTTTAGAAACATGGGAATATTTGTTCACAATAAATCACTTTGAAATCCGTAGTAAAGTTAATTTATGTGTTTTGTCAATTTCAAAAAATAGGTATTCAATATTATTGTTTATCAACTTATTTTCCTTTTATTAGGTAATTATCAACTAAACATTTTTCAACATTTGTATTCATTTAAAGATCCAAATCTTGTGAGGATTTTATATAACAAAAAAATATATTTTTTGTTCCAATGAAAATGCGCGTATGCTCACGCGCGATCACATATACTCTTTTTCATAATAAATACCCAATGATGTTACATTTGGCATTACGTTCTCAATGTCCCTAGATTTTGTTGATGTTTACCACTTAACTCATAAAACAATAGGTGGACAAAAAAAAAACTCATAAAACAATAACTTATTGAATCTCAAATTTTATATACATCCAAAAGTGAAGACTAAAAGAGCCTTGATTTTTGCCTAATTAAGCTTGGCCTTAGGTTTACTGTGTGTAGATAGGTCTCCAATCTTATTAATACACAATCCCTGACACGTTTTACTCATAATCTCAGTCTTTTAAAGACAAATGTATCTCTTCTTCAGTTTCCACGGACCCCAGAACCTTATATAAGAACACACACCCTCCACAACAGTAAAAATCATCACAATAACAACACTACCAACAACAAAACTAAGTAAACTCTTGAGAGAAATGGATAAATTGCATATTTTCGTGTGGGAAAACCATCTAGTGAATGGAGAGAGGCCTCCACCACGAACGTGTCCAAGGTGTCTCTCAGACAACACCAGGTTCTGTTACTACAACAACCAGGTTCTGTTACTACAACAACTATAGCTTGGCTCAACCTCGCTACACCTGTAAGTATTGTCGTCGATTCTGGACTCATGGTGGGGCTATAAGGAACATACCCGTTGGTGGCAGTGTCCGTAAAACCAAGCGTCCAAGAATAAATCAACCATCTGTTGCTCAGGTGGTTCCTGTTGAGACCCAACATGTTAATCATCACCAGCCTATCTTACATGATCAAGAAACCGACGATTTTCATGGGTCGTTTTGATTTAAGCTCTAAAAATTTGCATCTTTTGTTTCCCTAAAGTTCAGACATAAATTGCCTATCTTGTCTTTAATAAATATAAAATAAATAATTATCAACAGTTAGTTTGTCTTTCATAACTTATATGAGTAAAAATATATATGTGTTTTAAAATGTTCATTTATTTCTCTGTTTTAGTCTATTCTCTGTTTTTAAATTACGCTTAATCACATAATGTGAGATGCTTTATAGTGTACAAATATGGTATATCTATGGTTGTCTAAAATATTAAGATTGTGTATTTACTGGATTTCTCCAGAAGAATGTTGAGTATTTGTTGTTCCAGTGTCATAAAATTAAAATTAAGCTTTGTGTGGTTCCGCTAGAGTTCTCTTTTACTACACCACCCACATTTTGATGCACATAGAAGTTCGACTGTTGAACTCTTAATTTGTGAACCACATAGAACAAGTGATCAAGTTGGTACACGGTGGGGGAAAGTTATTATATCTTACCTGGTTAGTTTCTTTACAAGTCTTGTGTTGGTGATCACGAAATCTCGGTAAAGCACATTGTTTTTTGTAACACAAGTCTTTCATGTCTATTTGGGTATTTCAAACTGCAGGCTAAAGACTTAAACTTAGCAGCAGCTTCAGCTGAAGAAGTTGGACACAAGAGCGCATTGATATCCAAAGCACAAGAGATGTGACTACTTTCAAGAGCAGTACATTTTTTAGTGAAGATTATGTGCACATCTCTTCTAAGTTTGTTTCTTTTTGCAGTTACAAGAAGTTGTGCGAGGATGATGGGCATGAAAGAAAGGACTTTTCGTGTGTTTTCCAGACACTTCTACGATGGCAAAGATGAGGTCTGAGGCAAATCTTTACAATGACCCTGCAAAAAAAAAGTATACAAAGGTTTCTTTGTGCATTTACATTGTTTATTTCAATTGCTAAGAGATGAATAAATCTTCGAAGGATTGTGATGTTAAATTGTTAATAAAACGATGTGAAATGTAATTAGTTTGGGGACATATTTAGTCTGAACATGACCATCGAGCTCAAAGTTAAAGTGTTTAGTTAGTTGGTCTTGAAATAGGCTACTTGATACAGAAACCTTTTTTGTTATGAGTTTCTTGCTTTCTTGATATTCATTAGTACATGGATTTTCTGCCATAAATTAAATTTCTCCCACACACACATTTCTCAATATTACGTGTTTTTGCAAGTTTGATGATCCATATATTAGTTTTCTAACCCTAAGAAATTAATGTTGAAAAGGTCTAGTATATGTCATAAGTGAGTGGAATATTCTGGAGGAGGCAATGTGTTGAAATCTGCCCCTCCTTCGTTGGAGATCTTCTGGTTCGCGGGCAAGTGGGTTTGACAAGAGCATGATACATCTCTTTGTTCAAATCGATACAATTCCTAATAGATTGAACAAAGCTTTCTACTTCTTTCAAGTTTCCTTCATCGCCAAGCCAACTCAAAACACTTGTATACATAAAGCCGTTCTCATACACTTGAACCCTTTTCCACATAAGCATTAGCCACAAGCCCAAAGAATCTTGAAACTGTACGTAGTGCAACATTCTTTTCCTTCATCCACAACTCCAGGAGTTTTTTCGTATTGACCGATGTTCATGTAAAGGCACTAGGTATTGTAGTAAGTAAGAGAGGAAGAAGGGAAACCCATCTTCTGAAAATGCAAGAGAGCTTTCTAAACTTTCTGTTGCCTAACGTAGCTGTTTCTTAACATTCTGTTGCTTAACCCTCAAACAAGAACCCTTGTCTCTCTTCTTCCCCTTTGCGTGTACTTCATTGTGGTTCTCCGTCTATAAAATAAACACTATGACAAAGACATTCTATAATTACCTCTTCTAGGCCAAAGCTTCCTTGTGGAGGTTCTTTGTAGTTTTGAAAATTGGTTACATGATAAAGTGTTTAGTTAGTTGGTCTTGAAAATAGGCTACTTGATACATATGTTTGTTGCTTTCTTGATATTCATCATTGCTCGATACTCTTTAAAACTTTTCAATTCTCACCATCGGTATCCATTTCGAATAATGTCAAATTCTATACATAGATTTTCTGCTATAAATTAAATTTCTCACACACATACACACTTTCTTCTATATCAAAACTAATTACTATTGAAATGGTTATTAGTTATTACGTGTCTTTTGCAAGTTTCATAATCTATATATTGTTATTATCTTGAATTCTTGATACAAAAAAATGTTTTGTTGCGTCCCTTGTCTTCTTTGTATTATTTATCCTTGCTGCCTATTCTCACAAGATGTATCCATTTTGTATATGGAAAAAAAATCCTAAAGCATATCTTTAAACAATAAATTCTTATGATGTGCCAATATAAACTCTTATGACATATAAAAGTTCCTTATTAGTAAAGTTAGTTTTTGTCGATTTCAAAAAATAGGTAATTGACATTATTGTTAAACTACTTATTTTCTTTTTATTAGGTAATTATTAACTAAATATTTCTCAACATTTGTATCTATTTAAAAATTCAAATCTTGTAAAGATTGATATATTATCTTCAGTCCCAATAAAACTGCGCGTATATTCACGCGCTCACACATACTCCTCTTCATAATAAACATCTAATGATTTTCATTTGGCATTACGTTCTCAATGTCCCTAGATTTTGTTTATGTTTACCATTTAACTCATTCAATAATATAACTTATTGCTTCTCAAATTTTCTTATACATCCAAGAGTTAAGAATAAGAGAGCCTTGTATTTTTACTAAGCTTAGGCTAAGGTTTATTGTGTGTAAATAGGTCTCTAGAATTCATTAATACAAAATCTCTGACACCTTTTGGTCATAATCTCAGTTATTTTAAAGACAAGTGTTTCTCTTCTTCAATTTCCACGCCCCAAGAACCTATATAAGAACACCCCCTCCCCAACACTAAAATCATCATAAAAACACTATCAACAACAAAACTAAGTAAACTCTTGAGAGAAATGGATAACTTGCATCTTTTCGAGTGGGAAAACCATCTAGTGAATGGAGAGAGGCCTCCACCACGAACGTGTCCAAGGTGTCTCTCAGACAACACCAGGTTCTGTTACTACAACAACTATAGCTTGGCTCAACCTCGTTACACCTGCAAAAATTGTCGTCGACCCTGGACTCATGGTGGGACTATAAGGAACATACCGGTTGGTGGCAGTTGCCGTAAAACCAAGTGTCCAAGGATAGATCAACCATCTGTTGCTCAGGTGGTTCCTGTTGAGACTCAACAGGTTAATCATCATCAGCTTATCTTACATGATCAAGAAACCAACGATTTTCTTAGATCTATTTGATTTAAGCTCTAAACATTTGCATCTTTGTTTCCCTAAAGTTCAGACATAAGTTGGCTGTCTTGTCTTTAATAAATATAAATAAATAATTGTCACCAGTTAGTTGTGTCTTGTAGTCTTGTCTCTTATAACTGATGAGTAAAATATGTATTTTCAAATGTTCATGTATTGCTCTGTTTTAATCTATTCTTCGTTTTTAAATTACGCTTAATCACATTATGTGAGAGACATTATAGTGTACAAATATGGTAAATCTATGGTTGTGTAAAATATTAAACTTGTATATCTACTATCAATCTGGATTTCTCTAGACGAATGTTGAGTATTTGTTGTTCCAGTGCCATGAAACTAAAATTAAGTTGTGTCACTGTGTGTGGTTCTGCTAGAGTTCTCTTTTACCATGAAAATGAATATAAAAAAATAAGGTTTGAGCTGACTTCGAACCGGGGATCTCATGTGAGACTAGCGTGATAACCGACTACACCACCCACACTTTGATGCACATAGAAGTGCCACTGTTGAACTCTTAATTTGTGAACCATTTTCTTTAATATGATAACAGAATAACCGTTATTTGTGGGGCCAACCCTTTCAAAACCGTATGGGTACTCTGTTTTCTCTTGTTCGTCAATTTGTGACGGTGACGAGGAGACATAGAGCGCGAAGCAGAAGCTAGACACAATCAAAGAAGAAGAGTATGGAGAATGTTGTTTCAGTAAAGGGAACTTGTGACAATGAAAACACTGTTTTTAGCTTTTAGTTGACTGTTTCATATTTAATAATAATGAAGAGTGTTATCTAGTCCATGAGCAAGATTACGCTTCAATTTGCAGCGAGGAATGTTGGTTAGGCTTTATTGGTATTTTGTGCTCATTAGGGTTTTTTGGTATGTGTTTCAGTGGAATTCGAACGATGTCAAGCATTTCTATAGGTTTGCTTGATTTTAAAGCTCTTCTTGGACTTTAAGAAAGAAGAGCTTATCATAACAGGAACAGAGACTTGAGAGGCCAGAAAGAATATTGCTGGAGCGTATGCGTTAGCGTGCTTACGAAGTTACGAGTGAATGATGATGACAAAAAGAGGTTTGGTGAAGTCACGGATTCATTGACAAGAGAATATATAATAAATTCTCAAGTAGTATCATATATACGTCTCTAGTTTTTTTTTTCCGGGAAACATATACCTCTCTAGTTTCTAGTTGCAGAAGAAATACAAAATAAACGATCTACAATATTTTGAATTTTAGTTTTGGTCACAAAAGATACGAGGCTGATTTCAGGTCTTTAGTAAGCATCCGTGGCGCAATCGCCATTGACATAAGTAATTTGCAAGCATATGGTTTGTGAACCTGTCAAAGAGATTATAAGTAGATAACATGCCATCACACCAATGAGTATTAACGAGATAAAAAAGACCAAAAACATTTAAAAAACGATTGAGAAACTTACTTGAACAATATCTGTTGCGTTCTTGCAACCTCTGCACCCGAAAGTAGTATTCTTCAGGTTTGCAATGGCGATGAGCCCACAGGCTTCACACACATGTACCCTATACGCATCGCTCTGATCAAACAGCCTCTCTTTCAGAAAGTTAGTTGCACCATGAGCAATCATGCGATCTCGTCCTTAAGCTGGTTGTCTTGTTAAGATTTGCACAGGACCTCTTCCACGAGAGTGGATCTTGTCATCAAC